TTTAATATATAAAAATAGAGATGCTAGAGGTTTTAGAGCCACATACAGACTTTTTCAATCTTGTTTATATAAGTCTTCCTATGAATAATTTTATTGAGTACTTACTATGTGTTAAACACTGTACTAAGGACTGTGAGAGTTACTAAGATAAGTCAGGAAAATAATTTCCTCTTCTAGGAATGCGAAGTATAGCAGAACCTTCCAAAACAGAATAAGATATCTCAGAAAATGAATGAAAAATTCATAATGTAATTTTAATAAGATTACTTTTAGCATTTGAGATCTTAAGAGAATATAAAAGTCCTCAAACAATAATTAATGCTATTTATTGATTAGATCTCTCCAGACTTCAGAGGTGCCTAACCATTGATATGAATAGCAAGGTTCTGTCATAAGAAGGAAAGGTGGCAGGATTTGGTAGTATAGCAGTTTACCACTCACTAGCTTGAGTTAGGCAAAAAAAAATTGGTGGAATTCAAGGATAAGTCACTAAAAATCTTAATACCAAAGATACGGGACAAACCAAAGCAGAAGCTTAGTCTTAAAAAATGAGCATTAAGGCTTGCCATTAATACGTGGCACTCCAAATTTGTTTAGCAGTAGAAGTATAATAGGGTAATATTTAAGAGTCAATTATATTTATATTAATGCATGTCTAGAATATTGGGTCTGTTTAGTATAATCAAGCCTAATTGGCTACTAGTGATGAAGTTTCCTTTATATAAGTTGACTTAGATACAATCAACTCATGAGCTGAGTTAGAACAAAAATTTCAAGGGTAGAAGCAAGGTATCTAGCTATGAGAGGTTGAGAATACCAAGACGGAGGAACCAAGACAAATTTTGACAATTTAAGATTTACAAAATGGGTAGACAACATGCAGGAATTTAGAATGAACATTATAGAAAAATCAGAATATACTGTTATAAGGGCTATGCTACAGGCCAAGGGAAAAACAAAGAGTGGATATCAGAAATCAAAGAAACTCTCAGAAGATGTTATTTATGAAGAAAAAGCAGAAAAATTTGAAGTCAGAAAAATAATTCTAAACTCCCAATAGAAAATAACTTGTCTAGTTCATTCATTGATTAGTTCCTTTGTTCATTCATTCATTCAGCAGAGAGTATACTAGATGTTGGAAATACAGAATTGTTAACAACAAGAAAAAAAAAAGGTCCTTGTTCTAAGTGATCTTGTAGAGACTAGGGAGTGAATTCCAGGCTGCTTGCAATTACTTTCTTTGGCTGAGATTCCTTGGGTACCTAGGGGTTCTCCAGCTCTCCCTAAATTACCAGTATTTGGAAGAAAAATTTAAACTTTATGCTACCGAGTAGATAAAGACTCTCTCCATATGGCAACCAAAATGATCCTTCTGAAACATAATCTGACTTTCTTCCTTAAAATCCTGCAGTAGTTACCTTAAATGTAATTCATTAACAGTATTATGACTTGGCCCCTCCTTCCCTCCAGCCTAATCTTTGAATATCCCTCCTTCTTGCAATCTATGTTCTACTTTTAGTTATTTGAAACCACAATGTTTACTCTGGATTCTGGCATTCCTTTAGTCTTATATATTCTTTCCTCTTCTCCTCACTTGGTTTATTCCTATTAAGTTCTTAGCTTAGGCATCACTTCCTTGACTCCTTCTAGGTTAAGTACTCCTGCTATTGACTCCCATAGTAGTGTACTTCCTGTATTACTATTATTTATTCAGTTCCATCTTTTCTGATAAATTGAAAATCTAGTTCCTAGGGGACACGATATATGTCTATTTTGTACAGTTGCCAAGCGTACACAGAGTTTGACACCAGGAAAATATTAATCACATTTATAGAATTTTTTTTTTTTATTTTTGAGACAAAGTCTTATGATGTTGCCCAGGCTGGGCTCAAGCTATCCTCTGGCCTTAGCCTCCCAAATAGTTGGGACTACAGGTACATGCTACTGCACCTGGCTTGCATTTATATAATTTTTTTAATGGATAGCATTTTTTAATTGCTAAAATGAATGAGTGCAAGAAATGTAAATTCTGTGAGGTAGGAATTATGTCTATTTACTAATCATTGTATCTCCAGTACTTCACACAAGACAGCATAAAAGTAGCTGCTGACAATATTTTTGACCTAATGAATGAAAAAATGCCACTCTTGACCCTAGTCAGTCTCACCTTATTTGCACAAAGCCCCTGTAATGAACGGGCATTATATCTGACACCTTCATATGCTATGTCCTAAAATGCAAGGCCCTGAAATCTTACCCTATGACTGAGTCTAGACTCAACCTGCTGTGTATATGTTTGGATTCAGTCTGATCAGTATATTAAGAATTCAAATGCTTCCATTTTCACAGATTGTTGTAAATAGTACTTCGAAATTCTCCCTGCCCTCCCAGGTTCCCATCCCTTTGTTCCCCAACTAGGCAGCTTCATTGTTCTCTAAGCATCACAAGCTGCTTTGAGTATGTATCTGTGAAACAGAAAAGGCACAGATGAAAACAAAGTACCTATCAGGCCCTTGAGTAGATGAAAAGCAAATTCCAAACATTAAAGGTTACCTTAGGGGGTGGACATCTTTGTATATTTGTAACTGAAAAAAAATTCAGCCAGGAAAACCAAAGAATACAAAAAAAAAAAAAAAATCCCCCAGTGGTGATGGAAGTGACAAATATTGTATATTCCCTGGTTGGAAGGAAGCTACGGTCAAGCCTGAAAGTTATCTTGATGGTTAGGAGAGTATTTGATCATTACAATTAAGGCGAAATGCTTATGAAGCTTTTAAGAAAATTACATAGTGGAAAAGTGCTCAGTTTTGACAGCCAGTATTCAATATGAGTATGAATAACCATGCCAGAAAAATTGCAATAATCCATATAAAATTGTTTTAAAGGAAATTAATTTTAGTATAACAATACGTTTATCATTATAAGCACACAGCATAATTATTAAGTGTTCTTATCCACAAAGTGTAATATAGGCTACTATTTAAAACAAATAAAAAAAAATGTCCCTACCTTTTATAAAAGTAATCTAAAGCAAACAATACTGAAAAATATATGAAGTGGTAAGTTATCATAGCCATGTAATTATAACACACAAAGAACTTCAAAGTATTCTTATACTTTTCTAAGATCACTGATGATTTGTCCTTCCTTCTTTCCTTCCCTATCCCTCCCTCCCTTCCTTCCTTTCACCATTTATTGATAGATTATGTCCAGGCATATACACAGGATATAGAAGGATGAGCAAATCAGAGTCCCTGCCCGATTCTTCTCTACCTGCTAATTTTAACCTAATTTCTGGATCTGGTACGTTTTTATCCAATAATATTCCAACCTAAAGGTCTGGTTATAATAGAAGCAAAACTTTTGGATGGGTCCTGATGCCTTCAAAGGAGTCCCATTTTTAGGTTGGCAAATAGTAAGAATAGAGGATGAAAAGACAGAAGAACAAGGGAAGACCCCTGGAAATAGTCACTAAAGAGATGAGAGCGGATGGAATCAAGTACATAGGTCTAGGGATGAGCCTTCAACAGCAGAAGGTCAACTTCTCTTATATTAGAACAAAGATGATGAGGATGGCTTTAGATAAATTTGTAGATGGCAGACAAGGGCAGGAATTTTCAAGTGGTCATATCTCACAGCTTGAATTTTCTCTGCGAAGCAAAGAGTAAGGTGTTCTAAGAGAAAGGGGAGTCATTGAAGGAATGAAGTCTTCAGGAACATAGAAAAGGTTTGAAATACCATTGTGGAATATAGGAGTAGTGCTTAGGGCCCATCTAATACTGCACACTTTAAATCTGAAGTGACACTAGGAAAGCTCAGCAGCCTGTATATGGACAGATACCAATCCAAGTTCAATGGTTTTCAGAAAGGAGGAAGCCTTTTAAAATGTGAGTTAGAATACTTAAGGTACTAGAAAGAGAATAGTTAAAGTTATGTGCCATGAGCCAAGATGAGGAAAGAAAGTAACAGATTGGGAGAACACTGAGCAGGAAGAGGCTGGAAAGTCTAAGAGAATAAGAAATAGAGTGAAATGTGGTTGTTGTCAAAAAGTGATATGTTTACTTTAGGGGTTCAAAGGTTGAACAGTGATGAGTGATGACAAGGTTAAAAATATGGGCAGGTACGTGACTTACTAACAAAAAGCATGAATAAAAATTGCTGCATTGAGAGGAACAGAACAAGTTATTCGTGTGATAGAGGTTAATGTGGTAAGTAACATGAAGGCTGTTTGTGAAACAGATGCAATAAGCAGAGGAAGGAGGTAACACAGTAGAAAAATCACAAAAGGAAAAGAGGTACCTTGCATGTACTAATTAACCTGTATCATCTGCTACTCCTTAAAAAATATATTCTTCCTCCCTCTATATCAGGGGTCCCCAACCTATGGTGAGTTGTATAATTATTTCATTATCTATTATAATGTAATAATAATAGAAATAAAGTGCACAATAAATGTAACATCCTTAAATCATCCCCAAACCATCCTCCCTCTCCCTGGGCTGTAGAAAAATTATCTTCCATGAAAATAGTCCCTGGTGCCAAAAAGACTGGGGACCGCTGCTTTATATTACTCTTTATTCTATTCAATCTTCCTGCATTTACCTGACTGGTTCACTCTGAAAAAAACTTGACAAATTTGAAAAAAAGATTTTTTTTGAAGCAGCTCTCCGTAAGAGAATATTTCCTAGAGTGAACTAGTGACATTTATTAATCAGTTTCAGTTACCATCCACATGACCCATCTATATTAAATTATAAATTTTTCTTTAAATTCTCAAAAATGATGAAAAGCCACAGTAAGCAAAGAATATACTTTTTTTAAAAAAAGACTACTGTATAAAAATAACAGATGGCAGAATATGGAATGCATAGATGGTGTTTATGCACAAAATCAGTGCAATTCTCACTAGACACTAGCTAAAAACGTTACCTCAATATGCATATCTATTCTACAGTAGTCATACAGTCATATAATGCAATTAATACATAATGTAGGCTTACCTGTATTGCAAGGGTACGGGCTACAAGACCTCTAAGGTATTGTAAGGGATCTTCTGGGCCTTCCCACTTGCTCTGCCATGTGAGAGGACACTGTAATTTAAAAAGGGTCAAAATTAAATATATATATAATACTACATAGACTTTTAACATTAGTATGATGGGGAAAAATTTTGGCATAATTCACATTATACATATCATGAATTCATTTCATTAAGATGTCAACTTTTCAAAAGATGATAGATTAATGGCCAATAAACATATGAAAAAATGCTCAACGTCTCTAATCATCAGGGAAATGCAAATTAAAACAACAATGAGAGATCACCTAACTCCAGTGAGAATGGCTTTTATCAAAAAGTCTCAAAACAGATGCTGCATGGATGTGGAGAGAAAGGAACACTTATACACTGTTGGGACTGTAAACTAGTATAACCTCTATGGAAAGTAGTATGGTGATACATAAAAGAACTAAAAGTAGACCTACCATTTGATCCAGCAATCCCACTACTGAGTATTTACCCAAAAGAAAAAAATATTTTACGAGAAAGACTCTTGCACTCGAATGTTTATTGCAGCATAATTCATAATCTCAAAGAGGTGGAAACAACCCAAGTGCCCATCAATATATGAATGGATTAATAAAAGGTAGTAAATGTATACCATGGAGTATTACTCATACATAAAAATAAATGGCAAACTAATACCTTATGTAACAACCTGGATGGAACTGGAGACCACCCTTTCAAGTGACGTATCACAAAAATGGAAAAACAAACACATGTACTCACTACTTAATTGGAACAAATAGATCAACACTCAGGTGCACATATGTTAGTACAGTTCAACGGAAATCAAGCAGGTGGGAGGAGGTAGGAGGGGATGGGTAAATTCACTTAATGGGTATAATGCACACTATCTGGGTGATGGACACACTTATAACTTTGACTCAGATTGCCCATAAACAATTCATGTAACCAAAACGTTTGTATCCCTGTAATATTCTGAAATAAAAAAAAATTTCAACAGTAATTGTTTGTTTCATCATGATAATAAGAGGTTATTAATATAAATCAGAATATGATGAAACAATTACTGCATCAGCTTCAGTAATTTCTGGGCATTAATCCAACTAATCAATCAGTTGCTTCAGGTAAAACAAAAGAACTTGGGTTCAAGCCCATGAGTTTTTTATAACTTTGACACCAAATTAGCTAACTAGCTATTAATTGAAACAAAGTAGATAACAACCTAGTTTAGCCATAGACTTTGTGCGTTTATACGCATGTGTATTTAAAAATCTTGCATATAGTCTTCCAAGTGAATTTAAGAGTTTGGTAAATAATTTTTAAATTAAATATAATACATTCATTTTAGCCTTCAACTAGTATTTAAACTTGTATACAATAAATTCAAAATATAATAAAAATTAACAGTATTTTCACCCTCAAAAGCTTCATTGTTTCCATTTATAATCCATCCATTCTATCCTTACCACCTAATTTCTAGGCAATTGCTAATCTATTAACATATACCAGTTGGGATTTTCTGGAATTATATATAATTAAATCATATGTTACTCCTTTTAACCTTACTTCTTTTCCTATGTATCATTATTTTGAGACTGATCTAGTGATGTGATGGAACCAAATAGCAAAGAATAGTGAGACCTGATTCTTAAAATTTTATGAATTATGCAAGCTGGTTGTTAAATTGTCATTACTGAAAAATAGTTATATGAATTTGCAATAAATAAATGTTATTTTAAAACAAAGTTAACCAAATATTCTAAACTCATCACTTCACAATTATTTTACAACTTTTATTATTATGTTGTTATGGATTGACTGTATCTCCCAAAAATTCTTTTGTAGAGAGCTAATCACCAATGTAATGGTATTTGGAGGTAGGGCCTTTGGGAGGTAATTAGGTGATGAGAGTAGTACCCTCTTGAATGAAATTAATGCCCTTATAAGAAGAGGCCAGAAAGCTAGCTTGCTATTTGTTCCACCATATGAGGATAAAGGATAAGTTAGTTTTCTGCAACTTGCAAGAGGGCCCTCACCAGAACCCAACCATGCTGGTGTCCTGATCTTAGACTTCTCAGCCTCCAGAACTGTGAGAAATAAATGTTGTTTGTGCCAGCCAGTCTATGGTAATTGTTATAGAATCTTGAATTAAGATATTGTGTTTTAGATCATTTATGTCTATTGTACCTGTATGGTACTGTACAATACTAGGTATTTCTTCCCAACTCCACATTCACTGACCTTATATTGGTAACTTGAATCAGTAATGGTAGGAATATTTATACTATGGAAATAAGCAAATGCTATAGAGATTAGGGATTATTATTATTATTTTTTTTTTTGGTGAGAGCCAGTTAGCCAGTTATTCAGTGGTTAAATATTTGGCCCACAACACTAGATTCATTCATGTTGTTGCATAAATGAAATAGTCATTCTTTTTATTGCTGAGCAGCATTCCATTGTATGGGTATGACACAGTTTATCATTTCACTTGTTGCATATTTTTGACTATTGAAAATCAAGGTGCTATGAACATTAAAAAGCATGTATGGCACATGCTTTCATTTCCCTTGGGTAAATACTCATGAGTGAGTGATACAGTGGGCTAACATGCTAAGTATATATTTAACACAAGAAAAAGCCAAACTGTTGGCAGTATGAGATTTCAAGTTTTTCCTCATTCATACCAACCCTTGGTATAATTAGTCTTTTTAATTTAAGCCATTCAAGTGGGTATGCAGTGCTGTCTTGTGATTTTTAAAAATTTATTTTTTATTGAGATATAAATCATATCCTATAAAATTTACCCCCTCAAAGTATATAATTGAGTTGTTTTTTGTATATTCACAAGGGTAGACAACCTTAACCATTATCTAATTTTAAAATATTTTCATTGTCCTCCCAAAATATTGTGTACCTATGCAGTTACTCTTAATTTCCCCAAGAACAAAGGCTGTCTTTCTGTTTACTTAAGTCTCCTTTAATTTCTTTCAATAATGTTTTGAAGTTTTCACTGTACAAGTCTTGCCATTCTTTTGTTAAGTTTACTCCCAACTATTTGGGAATGGTTTTCTTAATTTCATTTTGGATACTATAAATTCTATATACTAGCATTATTGTTATTGTATAGAACTACAACTCATTTTTACATATTGATATTCTCAGTGCAATTTTAATTTTCATTTTCCTAATAATTAATGATATCAAGCATTTTTCATGTGCTTGTCATCCATACATATTCTTAATGAAGTTTCTATTCAAATCTTTTTTATAATTTTTAAATTGAGATGTTTGTCTTTTCATTACTGAGTTATTATTTTTAATGTATTCTAGATATAGGTTTCTTTTTTAGATACATGTTCTGAAAATCTTTTCTCTTATTCTATGGCTTACTTTTCATTTTCTTCATTGTGACTTTTAAAGAGCAGTTTAAAATTTTGATGAAATCCAATGTATTATTTCCTTTTATAGTTCATTTTTTGTGTTCTATTTAAGAAATCACTATCAAAAACAAAGTCACTAAAATCTTCTCCTATACATTTTTTGTTGTTTTATTAATATTTATGTTTATGATCAATTTGGGAATAATTATTGTATATGTTTGGAGATATAGGTATAAAGTTTTTTTTGCTTTGTTTTAGCCTTTTGGCTATTCAATTGTTCTAATATTATTTGTTAAAGAGATTTTCCTTTCTCCATTTAATTGCCTTAGCCTGTTTGGTTAAAATCAATTGATCCTGTATTTGTAGGTATATTTCTGGACTCTTTATTCTTTTGCACTGATCTATGTATCTGTCTTTATGTTAATACCACAGTGCTTTGATTACAATATCTTCATAATGTTTTAAAATCACAGAGTATGAGCTTCCATTTTATTCTTCTTTTTCAAAGTTGTTTAGGCTGTATTAGGCCTTTTGAATTTTTGCACAAAAACATTAGAATAAAATCATCAATCACTACAAAAAATCCTGCAGAGGTTTTGATCATGACTGTATTGAACATATAGGTCAATTTGAAAGAATTAACATCTTAACAACCCTAGGTCTTCTTCCATAAACACAGTACATCTTTCCATTTAGTTAGGTCTTAAATTTCACTTATCAATGTTTTGTAGTTTTCAGTGTACACAAAGGTTTTACAAATCTTTTATCAATTTTATTCCTAGATATGGCACCTTTCTGATATTGCAAATGATATTTTAAAATTTTAATTTTTAATAGTTTTTCTGAATAAAGTACAATTAACCTTTTATGTATTTACCTTATATCACACACTCTTGCTAAATTTAAATTCCTGCTAGCTCTGAAGTTTTTCTTTTTTGCTAAGAGCACTTAACATAAGATTTACCCTTTTGGCAAATTTTAAAGTATACAATACAGTATTGTTAACTATAGGCTCTATGTTTTACAGCAGATCTCCAGAACTTATTCATCTTGTATAACAAATTTTGTGTCCTTTTTTAGGTTTTGATATGAGGCAATTCTTGTCTCACAGAAAAAGTAGTGAAATATTCCTGTCTCTTCTATTTTCTGGAAGAATTTGTAGAGTTGGTATATTATCTTCCTTAAATATGTTAGATTTTACCTGTGAATTTTAGGTACTCTCATCGTGGAAAGGTTTTAACAACAAATTCAACTTCTTTAATAAATATAGGTTGTTTAGGTTTTCTGTTTCTCCTTGGTTTTCTTTTTTCTTTTTTTTTTTTTTATTGTTGAGACAGCGTCTCACTCAGTATCCCTGGGTAGAGTGCAGTGATATCACAGTAGCTCATGGCAACTCCAATTCCTGGGATGTAAGTAGTACTTCTGCTTCAGCCTCCCAGATAGCTGGGACTACAGGCACAAGCTAGCAATGCCTGGCTGGGTTTTGTTTTGTGTGTGGGTGTGTTTTGTCTTTTTAATAGAGACAGGGTCTCACTCTTGCTCAGGCTGGTGTCAGAATTCCTGAGCTCAAGCAATCCTCCCACTTCTGCCTCCCAGATAGCTAAGACTACGGGCGTGAGCGACCGCACCCAGCCTGTTTCTCCTTAGATAAGATTTGCTAATGAGTTTGTTTCAAGGAATT